GAATGCACTACATGGACCGAACAACTCACACTATATGTTCGGTTTTCGAATGCACGTTGAGTCTATCGACCTACGGCCCATCAGGTTTTAATGAGGCGACCGTTACAACGGCCATAGCCAAACCTACATTTGCGGATGCGGCTTAAGATAGATGTATGCTCTATCAGTGCGTTGCGTGAAGGCAATTGACGGCCAGTCCCGAAGCCGCCGCACCTGTGAGAGGTGCCGACAGTTAAACTACTACTAGCCTGACATAACTCCGGTTTTCAGTGGTTAGGGCATCCGGCCGAGTCGATCGCAAATATCCGAGACGTCTGACGAAGAAAAAGGCTTATTAAATGACAGCAGTCAAGTTCAGCTGACTTTAAACTATGCTGTCAAGCGGCACCTGCGTGCGGCTTTTGCCGATGGACTTCGCTGGCCATACACAGTCGAGTTTGAGGTCGCATAAAAAATGGATTCACAAACCCATCCTGAGACAAACCTTAACCGCCTCATCGTTTCCACCACTTTATTATTGTATTTTTATCGTCATCTGCACAGACGGGTTTGTCTTTACATCCAGTCAGAAAACGGGTGTTATTTTTGCCTAGCCCCGGGCGCCCATGGTTAGTGCCGCCTTCATCACTATCCCTGCTTACCTAACGTATTTCGACCTTACCTTGACAGCATTTCATCCGAACTTGGACAGCTACGTATTCTGTCAAGTCAATACGCGAGTTGATGGTGTCGAAGTGGTCGATAACACATCAGGCGAACGAATGTGAGTCCATCTGCCTTAAAGTCTCCGTGGTTTTATGTTTTTATTCCAATGCTGGTGGGTCACTTCGTCGACGATCTTGACATTCCTTATAATTGTACTTCCTTAGCATACGACTTATCCACTGATACAAGTTAGTTTCCACTGACTATGCTATGGGTTGCATTATATGTGTCGATGTGACCTACACCTGTATAGTTTATCCCCTAACTAGATATATGTGCACTCGAGTTGCTTCATTGTTTGCTGTTAATAACTGAATACATATTGCTTGCTTCAGGGAATTTTCCCGGTTATTTCTTACATTATTATTGGTATAGTCTTCACCCGTGTGGTTATTAAATCTTATATCGCGTACTTGCTAAGTCCTTTTCAGGCGTTTATACTGTATACACGCTGCAGTTTCGAACATTTTCAAGGCAGAGAACATCGCGCCAAATTAATTAAATGCTTTAGGTGTCAGCATCACACAACATCTCATGGCCATTTTGAAGAGCATGCCTACAACGTACATAAGGCGACTCAAAAAATAAAACTAAGATGCATTTCAAAACCGGTCAAGTGCGTGTTCTACCTTCTCGCCTTTTGTTGTGACCAACAAGACTGTTTTATACGGTTTGTTTCTGTACCAAGTTCAGCCCCACAAACCGGCTTCTGTCTGCATTCACCGCAGTCCCCAAAACTGTTCATGCCTACAGCCATATACTGTTGGAACTTACTTTTTTTCCACTTACTTAGTTCTGAACCTGCATCCTGCCCTGAACTTACGCATAAGTATTTCTTTTTGCAGATCGATGACACTAATGCCAGGCGAAATCCACCTTCTCCCCTACAGATATATCCGAGACCACATAGAGGACAGGTCTCTTTCTTTACACTAGATTGAGTGTACGAACTTTCAACTGCGCTCGTAAAAGCAAGACAGATCATCTCTGAGCCTAACAGCAGCGGAGTATTTTTATAAAGATGATTTTCGGCAGTTGCCACTTTCCGAACACTAGGTATCACAACAACGATGCATGGAAACTGTATTCGTACTAAATCAGAGGAAATATATATATATATTGCTGATAGAAGCTAGTTTTGATTTGCTAGTCAATCAAGTACTGAACATTGGCGCTGAACGTTGACTGGTCAAGAACCATCCTCCTACTGCAAGCTATCGTCGACGAAGGGGAACTCTGGATGTTGCCTCATACTAAAATAAGAACAAGTGCATGATTAAGGTTACTGAGAAAGTTGAGAAGATATTCATTATGCGAGTACGCCCATACTGCTATGTTCCAGCAACTGCCGGTTAAAATGCATGTAAGCACCTTAAGGAAAGAAGCCTACATGTATTTCTATACTGGGTACTTACGGATCACCCTTTACGAGGCGTTCATGAGTCCCGAGCTTTTTAAGATCCTCCATTTCTTCTGCCGTCAATTCAAAATCGAAAATCTGAAAAAAATATTTAAAAAGATGGACTTTACTGATACACTAACGGTTCTGGCTAGAAAAAAAACAAGAGATATTTACCGAAAGCTTGCGAAAAGGGCACTTATGGAGTTCGCTTTTAGGCAGGTAGCATCTTCAAGAGAGTAATTTTACATACAGAGTAGGCATGCGGACTGGTAAGACATTAAATAACTAAGTTTGACTAGTCCCTCCTCGAGACTGTTCCTTCGCTTCCATTCTCCTATGTCTTTTAAAGCGAGCACATTGTCAGAGGTCTCAATCAGTGGATGGCTAAGTCATACGGACCGAACAGTATTCGCCGATTTTATGATAAGAAGCCTCTGTACTACATCTCTGTTTCGATGGCCGCCTTAAAATTCGAGCACACAAGCGGTGGGAGTGCGTATCTATTTTCTCATTCAAGCTTTTCTGGTAAATGGTCTCGGTACGCACTATTAGTGCATCGTAAAGTAAGGGCACTTGGTGGCCAACTCACTAATGCAACTAGCAATAAATAACATAATTTTGTATGTAGATTGCAAGGCAAATTGTGATTCCTGTGCCGTGTTTTTCTGATACCCCAACAAAGGCATTACAACAACAACCGGTTTTACACGTCTGACGAAAGACGCACATACATTTATGTTCTCCGCAATACGCGACGGAGTCTTGCTTTTAGGTATCACGACGATTCCACGCTGTATTCCATGTCGGATGAGAACCTGACCGGGAGTCTTTCGGTACTTCTCCGCAATCTTACAAACGACCGGTTCATCAATTAGACGACATCCCGAGGATCTGTGAAGGAAAAGACAACCAGCTAACTTAAAATCAGGGGTAAAGTCAGAGGACAGCAGTATATATAACAGACCAAAAGTGTAAATGATTAAGGGAGATTGAGGTACACTAAAATGCTACCAATTTATTCGCCAATTTTTGGAAATGCTGAGCTTGAGAAAAATGCGGAACCCCAGGGTTAAACAGGGCACTCACGTCGGTCGATATGGACTGCCAAGGGGGCTATATGCGGTTGCCAGTATGCCGTTGGAGCGTGCGAAATCAATAAGTTTCGCATTCGGGAAGTGGGCATGGCTTTCCACCTGCAACATAGCTGGTTTGATTGTGCAGTTGTCAAGGATACGTTTCAGCTGACGCCTGTTGAAATTCGAGACACCTATCGCCTTGCAGAGACCTTCCCTGACGAGATCCTCCATGGCCTACAAGATACAAATGAAAGTGAACGCTAAAAGGCCTTGCTGCCGCAAATGCAAGGCTGGGAATAGGTTGTCATTACCTATTATTCAGTGTTAGTCTAAGATACGGAAAAGTAGATGTGGGGATTTTAAAATGAGAGAGAGAGGCTTATTGTTTGACACGTACTTTCCATGTCTCCAAGATGTCTGTGTAGTCGTACTTCGTACCCCCATCGGCGTTAAGTGGAAGTATCTCGGCACTCGGCTAGAGGAACGGTTGAGTGCCAAAGTAAAGTCAACCAACTTGGTATGCTGCCGGCCAGTGCACAAGGTACAAGTCGAAGTAGTCCAACTTGAGGTCGTCTAGTGATCGCTTGCAACCCACTCGAACAAGGTCAGGACGGTGGAAAGTATTCCATAGCTAAAAAAGGTCAAGTAGGAAAAACGATACAACCTTGGAGGTCACAAATAAGTCAGTTCTCTTGACGTTGTTATCGGCAAACCACTTTTGTAGCTGTTGACCGATCAATTCTTCATTTTGATAAAGATAGGCGCAGTCAAAGTGGCGGTATCCGGATTCTAGAGCCGCATTAAGGGCCGGCTCCACCTCCGCTCCAACTAACTAAAAGCACAAAATGTCAAAGGTGCGAGCTCGTGCCTTGTAAGTTCCAAATCCAATGCACGGGATCGACAATTCGTCAGTGAGCCTTAAAGTAGGCATATTCGCAGAGTGGGCGGCTGAAAAATAGAAAGTTGTGAATTGCTACGCCTCATCAAGGGCTAAAGTTTCCGAACATTATGGTGATCAGCGGTCAGAATAGCAAGATAAAACCGATAAGGTGTTCTGGAAGGACGATCAACTAGGCAAATTCGTCATATAAACGATGGGAAATAGTGTGAAAACGGGGGGACCTGCGCAGCACTTAATGAGAGTAACAGGTTTTTGTGAAGGCCTACGAAAATTTTTCAAATAAGGTGGCCACGATTATTTATAATCCGGAAGAGGAAGAGTTTTATCTTCATGACGTTTCGGATTCTGTTGAAAATTCTTCATCATAGGTACTCGTAGGATAGTGTAAGACATGCGCAGATGGGGTGTTACATGCACAGAATGCACGATATTTATAGTTCGTAGCGGTCATCTGCATGCGTACTGCAGTAGTCGCCGGCTATTAAGCCCACCTGGGGCCCAGACCAAACTGGGCTTAATAAGCGGCGGGCGCATTAACCGGAG